CAAAGACTGTAATTTGCTGAAATTAAGTTTTAATCACTAGAAAGTGTATTTTGTTTGGTTTGTAACCATTCCTGTCTTCTGTTCGTACTTAGTATTACTTAATCTCTATTTTTTATTAATAAACTCATTCTTGGCTTATTACAAAACCATCTCAGTGTTGTTTATTAAACTGGAAGGTGACTCCTCAGTTAGCCAAACAGGCTGATGTGTGTTCTCTCTCTTCAGAGGCAGTGAACTTAATTTCTGAGAGTGTTCAGTGACAGGGACTGGACACTGGAGAGAAACTTGGGCTCACTGGTTGTTACCTGCCAGGCAGTGTTTGGATTGACAGAGTCCTGAAGAGTTTGCTTGCAAGGCAGACAAGCTGGTGTGTCAGGGAGCTGATACATAGCTTAGCAGCAACAAAACTCTCATTTGCTGAGGCTAAGAGGGTTAACAGAGGGGCTCAGAATTCTGGCTACCCCAAGCAGGATATCACAGTAGACCACTGTTTTTTTTATTACTTCTCTGGCATTTGAAATTTCCATTAATAGGGGGAATAGCTGTTACTTGATGGTTTTACCAACAAGGAAGAGCACACATCTGCTTCACAGGAGATCGCTCTAATATTTCTTAGGGCTTCTTGGGTTTTGGCAAGTGTGGGGGGTGGGTAGTGCAGTCTGGTCAGGAATTCACCTTTATTTCTTGGTTAGTTCTCATTGTATCCGGTAAATTTCTTCAGCAAAGTCTGAGGAAAGAGTTTCATAGCAGGTGATGCTTGGCACCGATATCTTGACTATGCAGTCTGAATTGATCAGCTGGATCACTGTGCAAAATAGCTACCGGCCAGTATGGTGCTGTGTTGATGACAACTCCTGTAGATGACTCTTTTTGTTTGCCCCCTTTGCTGCTGTGGTATAGGCCAGTACGAAGTTTTAGTACTCTTAGTGAGCGATTCAGATTCATTTTGTGGCACAGACATTTCATCTTTCTGTCTGTGCATTCTATCTGCTGAGTCTCAGGGTAGAGAGAGAAAGAACAGATAACTTGTGGCCAAGGCATTGATGGTAGGGGATATCAATTGATTACACTGTTGTACCAACTTGTCTTGGTCTTGTTTTGGTCTTCTAGCTGGGAGGTCTGTTCTCCTCAGGTGAGTTGAAAACCTAGAGAATTCAAGTTTTTATGTGTGAACCAGCTGATGGGAAGAAAGGAAGGTTCTGATCTTCACCTGGAAGAGGCGGTGATCAGATCTTGAGAGTGGAACTTTAGCGATATCCCCTATGTCTATTACTAGGCTGAAGATAGTGTCCATCCTAAATATGTGGGTCAACAGATGGTCTGTGAGATTCCTGTTATTGCCAAGTGAGCCAAGAGATCAATCACTAAAACAATGCATGGTCCACTGCAGTGTTTTATGGACTTAGAGAGGATACCAGAAGGAGAGCTTTTGTCATCCCTAGAAGTTCATAGCCTGTGGAAGTCAGATTTAGTTATTAGATAGTTGCTTTCAAATGTGATTCTGTCTTAATTCATGGGAAAAACAAGGGAAGAGGTCAAGGAGGTGAGAGCTTTCAAATCCCTTCTTTGAGTTAACTGAGTGTATGGAGAAAGGTAGCACCCTATATAAATCCAAGGGATACATTATTTTATGTGCAGATGTCTCAGACCTGTAATATTATGGCAGTAAGATTTCCTTATGATCACACAGACTGAGTAACAAGCCAACCATTAACAAAGGGAAGCTGAACACTGCTCACAAGAAGCATCCACAAATCAGACTTTTCTCTTTCTTGACCCCACAGAGGGATTTGGATATAGACCAAGACACACTTCTGTGGTCATTCCAGCTGTGAAGAGTCCTGATGACACACATTGCAGGTTAAACCTCTCTACTCTTAGAACCACCTCTGAAAATCAGAGGGAAAGAATGCATATGAATGTGTGTGGTAGAATAAATGAGTATAAACACACTACACAAAAGCTGCACTTTGTGATTCAGATGCTACAAATCAGACTTATATTCCAGTAATGTGTGCTGTACAAACAGCCAAAGTTTATAAAACCTGTATAGAAGAGTACACTGGTACTATTACAACCCAATATCTTTCATTAGAACAAACAGTTATTTAAAGGTCGTTTCAAGTACCGTTCAAAATGTCTGGCTTGTTAATATTCAATGTAAATATTTATATCCTAAACAACTGTGGTACTCTGTCTTTGAAGGTGACTTGGAGCTGCTAAAACCTAAATTCAGGGTTTAAATACAACTACACTGAGTTTAACTCTGTATAATGCTTTCTGAGCAGTCCTGGAAAGAGAACTCTGGCCTGTGCTTCAGCAAACTGTTAAAACTGAGGTGCAGGAAAGTGTGTGTAGCTGTAGTTTTACAGAATCTACCCCAATATCCCACTTACACTTAGAAAATACATTTGCAGTTAGACTTCATGGAGGATACCGTCCACAGAACTTCCTTCTCCTCATCGGCTATAGTCTAGTAAGCTGCACATGACTTGAATGAGGCTGAGATATAAGTGGCTTTTCCTGTCCATCAGAATCTAGAATCATTTCCTAAAAGATGTGGGGTTTAAAACAGTATTACATGTGCCCTGGAAAGAGCATTCTGGGGCCTCATCCCATCAGACTTCAGTGTCATAAAAAGGCACTGTTTTATAAAAAAAACATGCATAATTGCTTTCAGTGGTAAAATCCCCAAAGACAAAAGGAATAATGAAGATAGAAAATGAAGGGCAATTATAGTTCAAAAGGCACCAGTAAGGGAAAGTGTTTTCAGATTTGGCATTTTCAATGCAGACACTGCAATTTGTGCTAAAGACTCTAAGCTACACTGTACACCAAGCCTATTATTTAATAATTCAACTATGATTTGATTATGAGCACTGACTTGAGTTGATTGAGCTTAACAAAATACTAAATTGCAACAAAAAGAAAGGAAACAATAAAATGAATGGATGTTTCCAATATGAAATGAGTATATATGTTCCCTAATATTTCAATTGATCACAACCTCAGAAGCATTTCTGAAGAAAATAAGCTGAAAGAGAAAACAAAAATGAAAGAAGAGCTTTATATTTTAAAAAGTCCACAGCGTTCGCAGTGACCAATCTTCTACATGCATTTCACTCTCTACAGTGTACTGTTCTGCCTAGCAATGTGGAACTTGTCCTGACTAGAGTATTGTAATTATCTGAGTACGATAAAAATCTCATTTACACCAGTAAAGACTCACAAAATCTATGTGATTCCAAAACAGAAGTATGCAGACAATTATTGAGCACACTGAAATCTATTTATCTATGTATACATAGACAACTTTCAAATGAATCCACACAACACTTAGCTGTGAAACTGAGCTGTGAAATTTCTCCAGCAGCTGGCTACAATGCTGCTGTATTATATCATGTTTTTCATAATATGTTAGTTCATCACTTTGTCCCTCACCAGGAAGATAAAGGAGAAAATCTAATGAGTAAGGAATTATTTACAACAGTCATAGACAATGTGACAATGCAGCAGCAGCTCATTCACTCACACATGAGCAATGAGCTGTAGATACTTCCCTTACTGGGAATTATCTTGTCCTCAGTAAAACTACACCCACTGTTGTCATTTATATAATTTTTAAAATATGTTATTTATTTTTAATTATGGAACACCCCACTCCAAATAAATACAATTACATAGCAGTCCATAATATTTAAATTTGACTCTTCTATTAACATACATGTAAAATTGATATTTACATTGTGTTGTCTAGTCGTTTGGTATGTTTTGCTAAATATTGCAATGAAACTTCCCAAATATTTACACAGCAATCATAAGATTTTTTTTATTAACCTACAGATTCTGTACATCCAAATGCTGAATTTAAGTAATCTGAAATACGGATGCTGAATACCAGATATTTTAACAGGTAGTAAAAGCATAAGAATGGTTTATCAACTGCCAGATTTTAGACACTAATTCAGGAAGCATGTGCTTAAATCCTATTGACTTAAATTCCAATTTAAATCTTATTGAAGTGCATTCCTGATTTGGAATGGATTTAAGCATGTTCTTTCTTGAATTGGGACCTTGATTTGCCTCCAGTTTAACTGTTGAAGAGTGCAAGGATACAGCTTTATAACAGGCAAAGGAGTCCCTATTAACAATCCACAGTGAGTCATAAGGAGGATTTATACCACTAGCGCATTTCAAGGTTTTTGTCAGTAACAATATCCAAGTAATAATATTTCAGGTCATTATGGTTTTAAGTATGGTTTCCTTTCAAAGAGATATTGACTATACAAATTCTATTTTTAAAATAGAATTTAAAAAAAAAACCTTTAAAAAATCGTATTTATTTTGTACAAACAACCGATCATTAGGCTAAACCAGAGAAAATTGTGATCAGTATCACCATCAGTTATTTTACTATGTTCACACCTCCACATTCATATTAATCCTTTATCCAGCCTTTCTTAACACCTGTTTAATCACATGCTGTTAAAAATACCATTTAATTTAATAAAACCTCTGAGCACCACATACCATCTGCATCTGTGCAGCTACTTATCTGCCCCTTCTTTTTCACCCACTATACTCACAAGAGACTGGTCAAAGTGTCATATGGAAAGTGTCAGCCAAGTTACATGAGCTTTGATTTTGAATGGCAGCTTTTAACAACAGCCCCTAAAAACTCCACTGATCACACCATACTTTACTTAGAGCCTGATAGTCCACTGCATTTCATCCTATTTAATCATTTGCACTTGTACAAAGTTAGGATTAAATTTTACCAAATCACCAAATTACTAGGCACAGGCAGAAGCGACTTCCAAGGCATGGAAAAAAGACCATTTTTTACACTTGAATTTCATTAATGCGAACAGACCTGTTTTTAAAGTCCCAGTGGGCTGACGTTTGAGAATTGTTGAAGTACAGAATTTCTTTGGAAAGGAATTGAAAATTAAATGATTTCAATTTTTTTAATTTCTTTCTTATTTTTCTTTTTAACCTACCAGGCATGATAATATTGGAAAAACCCAGCTTTCTTGTTATTGATACCCCATGAGTAAACATGGATGTGTAATCTCTCCTAATTTGTTCAATGTCTCCATGAAACAGTTGAAGAGAAACTGCCAGACCTAGAAATGAAGAGAAGAAATAAGAGACATAAGAATGGTATAATGCAACGTTATGTCTAAAATCCATTCAAACATTTTATTTCAAACAGAAACACGGTATTTAATATTAGAAAGTTTATATAATTCATTATGATCTTTCTAATTCAAAGGTCAATAACTCTAAACCATGTCAGAAGTTGTATGCATTTGGAAAGGATAAACGTTGTACAAAAATCCTCCATGTAGAGCGCCAGGTAAGCACTAGACAGCCATCCAGCCATACACAAGCAGTAACAAGGTGGCTACCATTGGTCTGTAACTGAGGCAATCACAGAAGCTCAAACCGTAGACAAGCAGATCAAATAAGTCCTAACAAGAATGCACTGGGACGTTGCACTCCATATGTTTTATGAAAATATGCTTATGAATGTGAATATAATGTAACTGGAATATGCTTTACGCAAAAGGTCTCTTGTAAGATATCATAACAAAGGTTATAACCTACTGAATATATTCCTCCTATTTGTATGTATGTATCATTCTTGTATCTGAAGCTAGAAATATGAAGTATAACCCTAAGGTTAAAGTGTGGGCCATTAATGGTAGAATCTTGATGGCTCTCATTGACTAGGACAATTGGTTGTGAATACGTTTATTTACCTGCAAGCCTTCCTGTGTACATGTGGGCCAGCCTGTGGGTAATGAAGAATGAGGTCTCACAGGACATGTGACCATGTCACATGATACTGGAATCCATCTTAAATCTGGTACTTTTCCATTTAGAAAGAGGGGTGGGGGCCCAGAGAGACAAAAGATTCCCGCCTTGTGCCAAAGCTATAAAAGGGAGTGGAACAGAACAAAGGGGGCTGCCAGTCATGAGAATACCCCTGCTTTCCACCTAAGATGTCTGCTGGAACTAACAAGGACTGTACCAGGGGAAAGGATTGGGCCCAGACTAGGAAGGAATCTAGTCTGTGAAAGAAGCTCATTGGAACATCTCTGAGGGTGAGATTTTACCTGTAATCAGTTTCTTAATGTATTAGGCTTAGACTTGCGTGGTTTTAGCTTTATTTTGCTTGGTGACTTACTTTGTTCTGTCTGTTACTACTTGAAACCACTTAAATCCTACTTTTTATTATTAATAAAATCACTCCTGTTGATTAATAAACCCAAAGTAAGTGATTAATACCTGGCGGAGCAAACAGCTGTGCATCTCTCTCTATCAGTGTTATAGAGGGTAGATGATTTATGAGTTTACCCTGTAGAAGCTTTATACAGAGTAAAATGGATTTATTTGGGGTTTGGATCCCATTGGGAACTGGGTATCTGGGTGCTGGAGATAGGTGACCTGTTGAGCAATTTTTGGTTGAAGTCTGCAGCTTTGGGGTGTGGACCAGACCTGGGTCTGTGCTGCAGCAGGCTAGAGTGTCTGTCTCAACAAGGCAGGGTTCCGGAGTCCCAAGCTGACAGGGAAAACGGGCTCAGAGGTAACTTCAGGTGACAGTCCCAAGGGGTCTCTGTGACCAAACCCGTCACATGCACTTCTGGGAAATGTCAATTAGTAATACTCTGCTGAGACTTAATCTTTTTATTTGCTTATTTATCAAACCAATCACCACCTAGTCTTACAAAAAACTAGAATTCAGTGTGTGTCTTAAGGCAGTAGGACAAATGCATCACTCTCCCCTTTCCCAATAGGTAGCCGCGTGTTGGAGAGCCCAAGAAAAAATGCACATATTAGAAAAAAAATTAAGGTGCAGAGTCACAAAAATACCCATCTTGACAAAGGTTCTACAGAGGTATTTCTATAATTAAACAATATTTTTATCATGACATGTCACAAAGGTATTTGAATATTCATCAAAATAATAAAAAGCTCTGATCTCAACATTTACAAAATAGGAAGTCACAACGTTATACTTGAAAGGCATTAGTTGTCTAAGAAAGTACTATACAAAGGGAGAAAAACTACATGACTGCTTGCAGTGGTCCTGAAAATTTAATAGAAAAGCAGATGCAAACAAAATACTGTCTTGTCTGATACAGAGCAAAAGGTATAGTGGTTTTGAAGGTGACTACCTAGTGGAAGAATGTGGGAGTCTCAATGAGCATCTTTAGGTATGGCTACATCACCAGTGCACTTCTAATCACAGCAAAGCTTAGGAAACTCTTGCCATTAAAACCAAAAGCTCAAGGTAAATTAGAAGAACAATGTAAGAAAACCAAATCCTGCTACTTTTCTGCTTAAACACAACATTGTATGTTGAACACACTTTAACTCTCATAATGGCTAAAGTTATAAACAATCATTTTTTCAGTATGTTTGATTCACTCTAACAAAGGCTCCGTTCTGTGTCTGCTGGAAGACATGATACTCAAGGGTTAATGAGTATAATATATTACTCTCCTTCCAATGAAATAATGGTTCTAGAAGAAAGGAGTGATAATTTCAATATACAATGTAACTGGAGCACCAGCATAATTTCATAGCTGAAATTAACAAAAAGGATATGTTTGCTTTTTGGTAATTTCAATATAATCATTGAGACAAGTGTCAGGATGATACAGCTTGTAGGGATTAATCCTCCCTGATCTCAGCCACACTTGAACTTATTTTGTGTGTCAACAGACACATACAGATGCAGATAGGGACAAATTCCTGACCTACATTAATAAGTGGAAACAAGCAGATAAATCTAAAAAGGCATGAAGAAACTTAGAAGATAAAGGAAGGCACAATAAATAAATAAATAAATAAGTATACACACATATGACAGCAGGGCCATCATTCTGTGGGATTAGGAAGAAATTTCCCCACTGAACAGTTTATGTTGTAACTGATCATTTTGTGGTTGTTGCACCATTGCCTAGAAATCTGGTATCAGCTATGGTCAGTCAGAATACTGGACTAGATAGACCACTGGTCTAATCCAGTACAGAAATTTTTTATCTTTCTTCTGTAGTTTATTATTTACAATAACAATTTATTATTTTGATGAAGTGTCAGTTATATGAAGTAGCGCCTTTGAGCGGGCAATTTTCGATGATATTTATGCAGTGTTGTTGTAATTGTGTCGGCCCCAGAGAGACAAGGCGGGTGAGGTAATATCTTTTATTGGACCAACTTCTGTTGGTGAGAGAGACAAGCTTTTGGGCTTACACAGAGCTCTTCTTCAGGTCAGCTCTGTGTAAGCTTTTCTCTCTCACCAATAGAAGTTGGACAAATAAAAGATATTACCTCATCCACCTTGCTCATTAATATTTATGGTAGTTCATTTTGGTATCAATGAGTGACTAAATCCCTCAAGGTAAAAGTGAGCTTGCACCTTAGGTTGTTACATCTCGCTAAATAGCAAATGGTTAATATGAATATGCTCAGCTCACCAACGGGCCTTTTCATTTATTTTGATTTCATTTGCAAATCACCACCAAAAAAGACTGATGACATCCACTCCATTTCTAAGGTACTGCTCCCATTCACAACAAAGCTCCAGGAATTGGTTGTCTCGGTCATAGACATTTGCTGTCTAGGAACTGTACAGAGATGACCAACTAATTCCATATAAGCAACTGAACAGCTGTGAAGGGGTAATGACTTTCAGTTACCATCAACCTGGAGCACATGACCAAACCATGACCTAGAGACATAAATTTTTAGCCTATTACCAAAACCTCATTCTTTTTATATATTAAGAAATATTTCACTAATTTATCAAAGATTTTTTTAAAAAAATTACAATGTTGTCTCCCGGAAAACCTAAGAGATATTTGCCATGAACCCAGATCACATCAAGTAGAAGAATGGTGCTAAAAATAATCAGATATTGTACACTGCCGTGTGTCATGTAATGCTGTTATCCTCCCTAAACATTTTAAATTAAAGTTCAACACCTTGAATCCAATTAGCATATAAAGATTCCTGCAATCTTTCTTTTTCATTTATCTCACAGATTTGCTTTGGAGAACTCTATTTTGCTCATAAAAATTAGATGTTAAAAACTATCAATGGCAAGAGCAGTTTTAACCTGGGAATGGAACTGATTGTCAAAGGAGTGTATACACTGTCTCCTGCAAAAGAAGACACGTACAGCTCTGTGTTTCACAGAGTTCACTGTTTAAAACTGAAGGAAACCTCTTCTGATCTACAAAAGCTTAAAGAAAAACTCTCTAAGGCATCTATCATTTAGACACATACCAAGATATATAATTCAATATTTTTATTTTGTGTAGCATCTTTCATATAAACTGTACCCCAAAATATATTAGAATTAAATAATGCAAAAGATAGTATATAGACACATAAATCATGTACTATACGTGGCAAGAGATTTTAAAAACAGTAAAGACATTGGATGGTAAATATATTCAAATATGCAGTAAATGCCAATGAGAAAGAGAAAAAATAAGAGGCATAGACAGATGGGAGGAAAATATGTTTTAAGATAAAATCTGAAAAAAGGAGCGACAAGGCAGAGAGATACAGGTAGGTCAAATGGAAGAATTCTAAAGGACAAGTGTAGTAAGCTTATACTAGGGGACTCAGCTGATAGATGAGAAGAGGAAGTAGAAAGGTGAGAAGAAAGAGGAAATATTAGCAAGGTAAACTGTAACACATCCATGGAGAATTTTAAACACAAGGAAGGCAATTTTGAACTAGTTCACTGCAATTAATGCATATAAAGACAGAAGTGACACAAATATGGTGTAAAGGCAAACTGAAACATTATGCATAGGCTAGAGAGCTGAGACTTTTAGGGTACGTCTAACACTGCAGCTGGGAGTATGCCTCCCAGCTTGGGAAGGCAGACAACCCTAGCTCTGCTCAGGCCAGAGCACTAAAAATAGCAGTGGGGATGTTGTGGCATGGACAGCATCACAGATTAGCTACCCAAGTATAAGCCTGCCCACACCCCTAAGTTCATACTCCAGTGGCTAGCTTGTTTATGCTCTCAGCTGCAATGTAGGTGTACCCTTAGAGCAGGGGTTCTCAAACTGGGGGTCATGAGGTTATTACATGGGGG